ACCATTACACCCCCCCCCGTCCATACCCCCAGCGACCAAAGAAATGACTCAAGCCCGCACGGTACGGTACCCGCCTATAACTAACAAAAATCTGCGTGAGCTATTGGTTACCCCATTTTTTGTGGACAATAGAGCTAATGTGAGAAACAACAAAAAAACAACCTACCGCTTTCCTGTCACGGCTTGTACACTTCACCAACGTCCGTTTGCTAAGAACAATTAGCGCACACACAATTCAACATGTAGCTCCGGTGCTGTAGAGAAAGACGCGAAGGGCAACATTCGAAATTTTCATCCAGGCACTATCGCCTCCAAGAATGACAAACGAATGTGTGTCGCTCGCGGAGGCGAGTTTTAGTCCAGCGAGAAATGCGGCCTAGTGCGGTCACAGCGCACAAAACGAGCACATTGCGGGCGTCGCTTTCCGACGACTTTGTGAAAATACTTAAAAGATGGGAGAGGCAAAACAAGTCGTGTGAAAGTACCTTGTACAACACGCGTTGTTAGGTAACCGGGTAGGCCGAAGCTTGTAGGTTTGTGGAGAAAGGCACCTCGGCCAGTGAGGACCGAGATGAGAAAGTCTTGTATTAGAAGGAAGAGGGGACAGCAGAGAACACTTGTGTCGGAGGACCCGAAGAGTGGGTCACCACACCTATCCGTCACGCAATTCAGATCACTCATCGAATCTCCGAAGAAACCAATTTGGAAGTCCCTGTTCCTCCGCAATCTACCGACTGCAATCTCCGTAGATCCATGTCCCATATTCAACCATCTTTACTATGCTACGAGTATATCTAACACATGACTCTTCCGCAATCTCCGCGAGGTCCACATCCGTGCATTGTATCCGGTACAGCCTCCAGCTCAAAGTGTTCATCCATACTCCTGTGTTTCGGAATATTCCTCGGGAGGCCCGTGGTTTATCCAACACTGGTCACCCGTGGCCATCTCGTCTCTGACACGGCTGTTAGTGGTGTGAGGTCAACAAGCCGCTGAATGCATGGAACAGAATTTTTTGTCTTGTCAAGATAACCACGCAACGAGACTCTGCCGGCATGCAACACCAGCGAGGGCACAAACAGCACGAGCTTCGGCAGCTAGCGGCACCAGTGGGCATCGCGCACATAACCTTTGTTTTGCTTGTTTTTCCTCTGCAAGTCAAGATCTCACAACCACACACTAGACAGCCACGCCGGACTATCACCACGTCCAAGAGACAACCACCCACCACCCTTCTCCCAAACTATGTGCATGGAAACGGAAGTCAAGCGCCGACAACAGCACCAACTAACTGGAGTGGGAGGGAAAACCTGGGTCATGTTCTGCCCCCACGCTCCCGAAAATAATGCCTCCATCAAGAAAGACAAAGAATTGGATTTGCTACCAACTTGAGCCTGAGCGACCCCACCGGTGATGACTCGCAGGTGCCCCCCGCGCCCGTCCCCTCCCCCGCCCGTGCTTGTTTCGCTATTTGTGTGAACAGTGGTTTGAACAGAACAAACGTGGAAGGGAGGTATGCGTGAGATGCATGCGCTACGATAAACACGCACAATCCGCCGCCGCCGCCGTCGCCGCCCCGGGGGCTCCGCAGACTTGTTGCCGCTCGTGCTGTCAAGTCTCCACCCCGAACCTATTCGGAATCTTTACTCGCCCAGAATTTCCACCATTGCGGCTTCGCCCAGAACCTCCATCGCCCCGGCCGGTTGCTGCGGGGGAGAAAGAAAGCGCGGTACCCGCACAGCAGTTAGAGTGAGTAGACTGGCCTTGGGGTCCCTCTCGTTGTGATGCATGGCCATACTAGTCTTGAGAGGTGAGAAGAAGGGAGTGGTATCTAACGTAGTTGTGAAACCCAGTGTTGACTGCATAGTTTGTGCATGGCCATACTAGTCTTCAAAGGCGAGGGGAAGGGGGGGGGGGGGGGGGGGGGGGGGGGTACGTGCTCGTCGAATCCGGACCACAGTAAAAGCAGGGGGGGACTCCCATCATTCGCGCTTGTGACGTATCATGCACATGTCCTCAAGGAGAGGAGGCAGGAAAAGGTGCGCCACAAAAAAATACAGGCGCAATCGCCTCCATCCCGAGCACGCCGCTTCGAGAAACGGAAACAATCCACCGAAAAACCGCTCATATACCTCCTCTTCCTCGCACAACACCGGAGAGGGACCCTTACCAGGGCGGCCTCAAAAAAATAAATTGTGGGCCTACAGCAGCAGAAAGCACGACGGGATACTGTACCAAGGGCTGCTTCGCTTGAAGGTATCGCTCCTCTGCTCCTTCGACTATTCATTCGTCAAGGAACCAAAAACTACCAACTACCTCCTCCTTCCCTCGCGCACCTACCTACTACTACACCACCAACAACAACTACTCCGTCTCTCGTCGTCGCTCGCGCACCTGTCGACGCTGGGGTGCAGCACCCAGAACGTGATGTCGTTCGTGCTGGTGGCCTGGAACATGGTGCCAATGTGTCCCGGGGAGCACAGCAGGTACATGAGCTGCTGGTAGATCTGGGTGCTCTCCTCCTCGGAGTAGCCCGGTAGGGTGAACAACACGTCGCCCTGTGTGCGCGCGCGGACGTGCCAAAAAAGTAAAAATAAACGCCGTTGCTGCCATCGAACCGCGCTGACGTAACCGGCCTACCATACATACGGGCTCGATGGAGGTTGCGCGGCTTCCTGGGAATCGCGTGTCTACTTTCATGGAAGCGTGTGAAGCTTGTGTGAAATTCACCAATATCGACCTCCATCGAAGCTTTCGATGTAT